GCAGCATAGTTGCAGCAGGAAAGGAAGTGCTAGTCCCTGTGCTTGGCCAGGGAAGTAACTCTAGTTCTTATGCCTTCTCTATGCAGATGTTCCCCTCCCACCGAAACCAGCAATAATAGAAAACCCATCTTCATCATGCACAATGGCCATCAGGACACTTTTCTCTCATTTATCTGTTTATTTCTAGGATACACAAACTGCTAGAGCCATGGTAACATGAACTTCACCACAGAGAAGCAAGAAGCAACTACCTTAGGCACACGGCAGGAAGCTATCACCATGAAAAAGCAACAAAACCAGCAATTTGTGCCTCTTCATATGACAGACGCAGTGAGAAAACCACAGCAGTGCCCCTGAGGTGCCCTTATCAAAAATGAATCCCCTGCATCTCACGGTGAAGAGGGCACTAGACTCCCCTGAGCTGAAGGAGGGCATTCCACAAAGTGGTCCTCTGCAGCTCCTCCAAACCTCCGCAGTGGTGAAGAAGAGGACTGCTCCAGACTGAAGGAGCCTAATGATGTAGGAACTCAACGGTTCTGGATTGGGACCTGGGCCAGATCAGTGACTTGAATGCAAAAATTGGCAAAATTAACAAAACTAAACTAGATACCAAAATCAGAAAATGATATGGTATTGGTGCTGACAGACTTGATTTGATGACTACACTGTTGCTACGTATGGCAGTACGACATTGCTTTCAGGGAATGCGCAAAGACAAAGGGGTTCCTGGTTACAACTCAACTCTGCACAGTTCCAACAGGAGTGAGAGAATATGCATTCTTGGTACTATTTTTCCAACTTCTTTGGAAGTCTGAAATAATTTCAAAACAAAAAGTAAATGCAGAAAGGAAAACTGCCCAAGATACAGCAAATACTAAATGTAAAATCTAATCCTACTTTTGAAGCCTAAGCACTCAGGAGTATCCTATCAAACAGTGTCACTGTGAGGTATGACAGGCAGGCTTGGGGATCCTGTCTTCCTAATCATAGTGGTTCTACACAACGCACCAGTGGCAGCACATCCTTACTTCCTTCTGAGGATGAATAACTTCTCCTTCCACCTTCATTTCATGGTCAGGAGCATCCAGGCAGTTGGACGTGCCGTGAGAACAGAAGCAGACAAAGCAAGAAGACTGGGAACCACATTATCATACCGTACTGCTTCTCTGGCCAATGTGCCCACTGACTGAGCTGGAAACCACATGAGAGGCAGTGATGAGAGGAGGCCTTTGCTTCTCCTGCACAATATACGGGAAAAGGGGAGAGGAAGTTACCTAGCTGCAAACCGCTCTGTTCTCCTGGGCCAAACCCGAGTAGAGCAGCCTTCTAGTTCTCCCTTGTAAAAGGACAGCAGTGGCGGCCTGCAGGGACTTCCTAAAGGCAGCTGCAGTAGCAGTCCCTCTATTCTTTACATAGAAAAATGATGCGTGTTGAAGGAAACACACACACACATCCAAAGTTTCTTTGGAGATCTCCCCAATTGAAATGCTGGACTCAAAACCCTAACCAAGAAAAGAGAGAAGACAGAACAGGTCAATCAACCATCTCAGCTATATGTTGGCAGCAAAATACGGGGCAAACGGAGACTCTATGATGGACTATGTCAACCAGTGGATTCTTCAAAGACCTCATAGTGCTTGGAGTGGCAAGATTGGCAACGATTCATAACTGGTGAACTATCAAAACCTCTTGAGCAAGAACCTCAGAGCATACCCTACATCCGGGACCTGGGGAGGCTGGGAAATTGGGTGGGCCTTCTCCCTTAATACCCCCCTTTTAAACATGAAGAAAACAATACAGAAATAATAGTCTTACCCACTTTCCTATAGGCCTTGAACCCTTTTACCCCAATTAATTACGTAAAGATTGTCAAAAAATCTAATAAAAAAATCCCAAATGCCAACATGGACAAGTATCTCTTAGAAAAAAAATCTATACCCCACAGAAAGTAGAGTAGGACCAGTGAAAAGGCATGGGAGCACAAGAAGACAAGAAGATGAGTCACCGGGGAGATCTCAAAAACAAACCTATTGGTCAAGGGCAAATAACACAAACGACCCTTGTCCTAATGCTGAAACAAAAAATACCATGAGAATTAAGGAAGAAAGAAAAAAGACATCCTACAATAAAAGTTTACATGTTGCATATGGTGATTAAAACAATGTGCCTTTTCTGATGGCCAAGTCTCATGCAAATTTTCCAACAAGGAACATCCCACCTGTTCCCAACATCACAAGGCAAAACGGACAAAGGGAGACTGCCCACCGTTAACAGATTCCTAGGAACGGCAGTACACTGAGCAGCTTCAGAGCGCATGCCAGTCAGTGAAAAAACCAGTTCTGAGTGGCCTTTTTCTGGTACACTTGAGCATATGGCTCGCTTGGTAGGTAAACATTTTGTGGACACTTACTAGGAAAAAGAAGATGCACTATGAAGGCAGTCTGGACAGTGCACCTGTTCCTAAAAAAGCTACACACAAGTGTAGTAGAGCTAGGAGCCCCAAGTGCACTTTAAAATAAGAATTACGACAGAACAGCCAGCGTTATGAAGCAAGAGAGCCAGGCTAACATTATCCGGGGCACTCTCTTGTCTGTAGGATGCTCTAAGGAATAATTCATATTCTCCTTGAACTCTGAGTTGAATGGCCAACTCCCATTTGAAGGATAGATGATGAAACAAATCCTCAAGTTTCACTCTAAAACCAAGGAGCCAGTATTTGGCAGAAAACATGGTTTTAAAACTCATCTCTTTAAAAAAATCCCAGCTGCTTGGTATCTAAGATTCATGCAAAATGAGGTTAGGAATACACAGCACACAAATATGTAATAAATAACTTCAACATTCAAAAAAGTAGGAAAAAAGAGCCACAGATTTTTTTTTTTCTCAAACCAGTCGGAGTCCCAAGGGAGAGTGTGGGTCACTGACAAGGAACTGCAGATGGCTCCAATTGGCTAGAGGATAGAATAAAATGCTATAGAGGTTAAAATTGCCACCATAAATTTAAGGTTAATAGGTTTGCTCTTAATTACTTAGAAATCATCCTTTGCTCCTGTTTTCCTGCAGTTTTATTTAATATTGAAAACTAATTTTGAGCAATTAAGTGACATCATAAAGTAGTAGTAGCTAAACAAAGTTAGGACAGCTAGAAATCTGTTGCAATTGTCTACTTTAAAAATAGCAGAGGAGGGGATTTCAAGATGCAGAGCACAAGGTAAAGAGACACTTGGTGAGTGAGCAGATGGGGAGCAATCACCCATCAACATAGTATTGTAAGCCTGGGCTCGGCACTGGAAGGGGAGCTTGGGAAGGAAGAACTATCTGGAACTCAGAGGCTGGTAGACCACCACGTGACAGGGTGCTGGGCTGAACTCTGGATAAAGAACACGCCTGGAAACCTCCATATCAGCTAACAGGACAAAAGCTGGCGAATCTCCCAGCTCCATCTCCCCAAAAATCAGAAAATCAGGAAATGAAATTGAGATGGCTGTGTTCAGCTCTGGGTGACAGTGCAGCACCCCAGAGATGCACCTTCGTGTCATTCAGTCTTCTCTTTGGTCAGGCATTCCCTCAATGTCTTTGTGCTGTCTTTCCAGGCGAGCCGCTCCAGTGGATGCTTCAAGGAAGTCTGGCATGCAAGACCAACCTTGGCTCTCACCACACCAATCCTCCCCTTCAACCCTGGCAAGCTCAGAAATCAACCCAGAAACCAGCTGAGCCCCAGAATTCCGTCATCCAGAAGAGCTCAGAGACCAGTAGACAAGGCCGCTTTTCTTGAAGTCTGCTCCAAAACCTGTTTAAGACAATTCTACGTGTACTCCCTATAGGTGTCTCAGAGAAACTATATCCGGTTGAAACCATTCAGTTCCCTCTACCCAGGCATGATGAGATACCATTTCCAAAGGGTGTTTCTTTGCCAATTTTGTCTACAGCACAGAACAGTCAAATTCCTACAAGCTTTCCCTAAAAGAGATAGGGGGAAATGTCCCATTGTCCCTGGAAATAAATTAAATATATTGAAGTATAAACATCTAATCTAATTTTAAAACCAAACTTAACCAAGTCGGAAGTTTACATTCTCTTGGGTTTAATTAACATCAGAATGAAATCTAAAATTTCAAATACATGAAACTTGCATAAATACACACATAAATAAACACACTCACACATATAAACCATCTCAGAAAAATAGAACCGAGACACTATTGTTGTAGCATAGTGAGTACAGTTACTACCTGCAATACTGCATCTTATAAGGGCAATGGTTCCATCTAGGCTGCTCCATTGTCATTCCACTTACAAGCCTGAGAACAGTAGCAGAAGTTATCCAAAGTATTTGGGTCTCTGCCACCCAGCTAGGAAACAGAGATGAAGTTCCTGGCTCGTGGTACCAGCCTAGCGCAGCTCTGGCTGCTGGAACTTTCTGGTGAATCAATCAGCGGAATGGAAGATCTCTTTCTCTCTCCTCTTGCTATCTCTGTCTCATTTTCTTTCTCTCTGACCTTCAGATAAAATAAATCTATAGAAAGAAACCTAGACTGGAAGATTTTTCAGGAGATCTGTAACATAATCTAGTTAACACAACAGACTATAAAAGGGACTACAGGTCTTCACTGACAAAGCATTGTATCCCACAGATATTTTCATTTCCATCATTTCAAATTGTGTTCAAAACTACCTCTTTTCTACAAAATCCGAAGGAGGAAAGGTATTTAAAAATCTGTTCCTCTAATATTTAAACATTATAACATCCTTTCTCCGACCTTCCTTAAAGCAAAGCTCATAAACAAAAATTGAATCACTCGAATTTCCCCAAAATTGTTTCTATACCAAAAATGCATAGCAAATGAGCAAAGGCTAACTTTGCTGACTTGTGGATAACTAGAAAATTCCTAAATGCCATGTGTGGAACGTTGTGGAAACCTCTCTCCTATTCTGCTCTGGGTTTTGTGTCCAGGTGAAGGGTCAGCCAGCCCAGGGCAGCAGGGCTGCGTAGTGCTTACCTTTTTGGCTCTTTGGGCTATGTCTGGTGTCCTCGTGAGCAGCTTCTCAATCAGGTACTCTCTGTTCTGCAAAACAAATATGCCCCACCGTTTAACATCAAGTATGACCCAGAGAAATTCATAGTGATTTCAAAATAGCAGATTTACTTGGTTTTTTAAACATGTTACCTTGGCTTTCTGGAAGAATTTGCATTTTAAAAGTTCTGCTGCTGTGGGCCTGAAAGATCAATAATAAATTAGAATTGAAACAACGACCACTTAATAAATACACTGCCTTGATGAAACAACTTAACCTTATTTCTGGAAGACCAGTTTTAGAAATAGCATAACCAGAAAGTAAGTTAATTATAAGCTGGAACCAAGTGAATCAACGCCAGTTCTCCAGTTCTTGCCAAACACTACAATGGCAAAACAGAGTCCGAGTTTAATGCTTGAGGCATGATCAGTTTTCCATCCTCCATTCTTAACTTCACGAGCTGAGTACTTCTACAAGGTAGCAGGCTGGTGAGGCTGTGAGTTACACCCCTGTATGGCTGAAGAAACCATACAGACTGCTGTCTGACCCTGCCACAGCAACTACAGTCTACCATGTTCCATGATGCCCAAAGCAGCAGCGACGGCAAGAGGCGCACAGATCCCGAGGTAAAGTACTCTGCTCCTGCGTAACATATACACATGGCTGTCCTTGTGGTGACAATAAACATGATTGAGATTAGTACATAACAAAGTTAGAGGCATTACAGGATTGCTGTGACTGCTTTCCCAGAATGTCTTATGGCTGATTTGCTACCTTCCTATTTCTTGTAAACGGGAGGTCTGATTAAGGTTAAAATGAGCATTTTGATGCTCAAGAGGCCGCAAATTTTGGAGCACTCTGTTCAACTCGAGATGTTGAACCTATGTATGCTCCTACACTGGAAAAACTCAAAAACCTTAAAACATTTGTGTTTCTGGGCATTTCAGATATGGGATCCTCAGACTGCACTTCCAGACAAGGGCCCTCACTTTTGAAGCACACCACCAGAGGCAGCTACTCTTAGATCACTCCGCTGCTTGTCAGGGAGTTGCCCCACTGAAGGTCTGGGTTTATCCACTACAACTGGCAAGCATTCTTACAGGTAATTCCTGGGCTTTGAATGAATATGCTGCTCCTGGAAACTCTCCCCAGAGATGCACATTGATTGCATCATTTTTCCTTCAAATGTTTCAAAGCGAGTGCAAAATGACAATTTATGTTAAGCCTTCTATGTTTACTGAATGACACTTTTCCACAGAGAATAGCTTCCTTCAAATATAGTTTCTGTATAATCTTGTAAAAATAAGTAAATAAATAAAATAAGTCCAGAGTATAGAGTGGTCAGCAAGACCTATGGTCTGATGTGTTCAAAAGTTAATGTCACAGCAGCAAGGGGGAGGTGTGGGAAAAAAACTTCTAGATGAAGAGAGACTTAATGAGACACAGAAGCAAACACTACATGTGACCCTTGACTGAATGACCCCTGGTAGGAACTGCAAAAGACATGTGAAAATAATATTACAGATGTGGGAATATGCTACATGTTCAATAATTTAGGATATTACGATTCACTTCCTTAGGCATGAAAAAGCATCATGTTTATATAGGATTTATTTGTAGGTGATGTAAGCTCAAGAGTTAAAGCCTATTATAGTCAGGCAGCTCAGCCTATACAATGTAGACAGATATAGGATATATGGGGCATGTTAATAATTGCTAAAGCTGATTATGGCATGGAAGTAAACTCTGTGCTACCTTTTAAAAATATCCTTTCTCTTTTTTCATAATAAAAAAGTGGAAACAGAGAGAAAAGTATTACTGATTATCTCTGGGTGTTCCCTCAGGCACTGAAGATGCAAGCTATGAGTGAGATTAGGCTCCAAAGGATGCAGGTTTTAAAGGAATTTTCATGCTCAAAATGACTGGAAACCACTGCTCTAAGCCAGCAAGCTTCACTGCGATGTTCTTGATAACCAAACCCAAGGCTCAGAAAGAATCACAGAACGTCACAAGTCCATGAGTGTACCAACTGTGTACTTCTACAGGAGGAGCGGATCCCAAGTGAACACTGGCTTTCAGGTACCTGACAGAGTCTCCAAATGCACTGCAATAAATCGCTACTAAACTGGTAAGCACTTCGAGTAAATAATGTTGAAACACTAGGTTTAGCATCCCTGGGTAAGCTCATTAAATACAGGAATCTGCACCTTGTTGAACAGGAGCAGAACTGAAAAAGAAAAAAGAAAGGTACTACTAGGGGGTTGATGTTAACATTGACTCTTTCTGATCATGGTCAAAGCTTTGGCCTCCAGGTTTTAGGATTTTGTACTTCTATTGTCTCAGTAAGTACTTCATGTGAGCTGTGTTTGTCATTTACTGTGCTAGGCGTGAGGTATACTAGAGCGAACAGGGCAAATGGAATGGCACCTGAAGCAACTCAGAATGCAGCAGGTACTGCAATACTGCAGAGCTGCAGCAGGACAGGCCAGCACTTCTGGGCTTTCTGAAGGGGAAGTGCCACTGAAGAACTTGATTTAGAGTCATCAAACGTGGGTGGCAAAGTAGCAAAGGAAGCCACCTGCAATGGTGCTTGTTCAAGCCCCAGTTGCTCCACTTCTGCTCCCAGAGAAGTAATGGTGAATGGCCCAAGTGCTTGGCCCCTGCACCCTGTATCATACCTGGAAGAAGGCCCTGCCTTCTGGTTGTGCCCTGCCAGCTGTGTGGCCATGTGGGAAGTGAAACATGAAACTGTGAATGGAAGATAGCTCTGTTTCTCTCACTTCATATCTGTGTATATGTGTCTCCCTTTCTATCTGTAACTCTGCCTTTCAAGTAGACAAGATAAACTTTCAAATTAAAAAAAAAAACGACCATCACACCATCATTTAACTTACTTGCAAGTGTTGGGATTCATGGCCATCATAAGGCAGAATTTCTAAAACCAAGCAGCAATCAAACTAACTTAGATTTCATTTTTTTTTAAAGTGGAATGACATTAAGAAAATTGGGATGATTACAGAATCCCAGGCTGGTGTTTAGTTTGAAACTCTCACTGCTGTTGGCTGACATCTTAGCTAAAACAGCCTGCCAAGCTAGGTCATCTGCTGATGCTCCTTCCAACCCAGCTTCGACAGGGCTTCCCAGGTATCAGCTAAAGAAAGCACAAACAGAAATCCCAAATCTTTGCCCACTCAGACTTAAGCAAGTTTTCTGTATTTTGCCTCTTGTCTCTTACCCTCACTTCATTGCCACCCATGCAGATCTCTCTTTCAACTACAACAATATTCTCCCCATCTCCTGCTCCTTTCGTTAGAATACACTGTTGTTTTTTTTTTCTGGCTTCTACATTTATGTAAGCAACCTGTGCACTCTACCTCATCAGTCAAGAACCAATCAAGATGTCATCAGTTTTCAAGGTAACTCTTCTGTTCTCACAAATCCCAAGCATGGCTCCCTCCATGGTGCTCTTTCCACCTTCTGATTCTGCATTCAATCCTACTCCTCACTATCTCTGCCCGACTAGGTTATAAGCCCTTCCAAGACAGAGACCACATCCAACACATCCTTACTTTCTCAGTGCCTAACACAGAAAACTGCCCCAGTGCAATCCCATGCTGTAGTCAAATAAACGAAGGAAGTGATGCTGTGAGACACTGGGACCCAGCAGTATTCATTTCACTCGGGCACCAGACTCTGATCAGCACCACAGCCTCAGCATCTGTTCAGTATAATGTGGGAGCAAGAGAAAGGTCAAAAGGAAATAAGACTCACTAGCAAGCCAAAGGAAGAGAGAGATGCAAGTACCACAAGGGGTTGGGAGGGAAAGGTGAACCCCTGGGCACTCCTGCTCCCACCACGAATCAAGGAAGGATGCCTGTGGAAAGAAGGCTGGCAAATGCCATGCATACCTTGAGAAACAAGGCTGGGAAAATTCTTTCCCTTTCCCAGCAAGGTCATTTCTATGGTAACCAACAGCCTTTAAGAGAGAAAAGCAGGGTACAAGGGAAAACGCCTTTCTTTGAACTTCACTCTACTCTTAGCCTCCATTAGTACAAACAAAACCAGAAGGTTGTTAGAAATTCGGAGCAATTTAAAGAGCCACAAATAGGCTCAAACATTGTGATATAAAAGGTATACCAATTCAATATAGACAGTAACTAAAGAGCAAGGCTGCTTCCTTTTCGTGCTCAATCAGCTGACGTGTTTATGGTTTTGGAGTAAAATTCCACATGAGCCACACCATTTCTATGATAAATATGGAAAAATAGAACCACAGGAAATGAGGAAAATGATGGTGGAGCTAGAGGATTGTGAAACACTACAGTGCACTTTTTAAAAGCTTTTGCTTTATTCAAGTTGAATGCTGCAGCAACTATCATGGCCTGGCAAAAGCAGAGCAACCAATGCCACTTCTCAAATGTGTACTCTGAGGCAACAAAGAAAAACTGGCAATTATAGTCATATCTTACTTGACCCATAGCAATCATTGAGCCTAATAATGTAACATAAATGTAAACACTGTTATTGCAAGAAATGCTAAAATGCAGTCAGAAACCGAATAGCAGCCCAAGATTTGAATGATGATTTGAACTCACATCCTTTAAAAACAACGCAGCATAGTGCAAGTACCAAAACTGTCAGGAGAAAAATCTCTTGAAGAACTCAGTTAATATACAGGGATGAACCAAAGTCCAATGAGAATGAAAGACCTCTCAAGGGATTCAGGACAAATACAACACAGTTAAAGCGGTTTGAACAATCTGTATTAACAAGTTCTGCATGTTCACTGGCCTCCAGCAGAGCTGCTGCTCTTATCCTGCCCCTCCCCGAGAAGAAACATTCCAGTCTTACTCCTTCTTCCCCCAAATGCTGGGTCTTTTTACAGTTGCTTTCCATATGAAGCATGTGAGCTACAAGATCAAAGCTTGCTTCTTGTGTTTGTGTTTTTGTTTTTGAGTTTTACAAAACTGCAAGATGTTCTGTTCCACAAATACAAGCAACACTTATCGACGCCAATGCAAACCACAGACTGGATAGGGCAAAAGATCTAACAGCTCTCTTTTAGAAGGAAGGCCCCGTGGAAGGACAGTCCCTCTCAGCTAGTTTGAGAGCTACTTCAGAGGAGGTACTCCTATTGCTCCCCTTGGCATTTTCTTCATTCATGCTCAGCAGGTACTGAGCATCAGCCAGGTGTTCTGCCTGATGGTCCACACTGCAGGGTCTGATTTCTGTTCCCACCTCCAGCTACCCATTCCAGCTCCCTGCCAGTGCAAACTCTGGGGAGCAGCAGCAGCAACAACTCAGGTGATTGGGTTCTGAACTGCAGCTCAGACTAATCCAAGTCATTGCAGGCATCTGAGGAAGGGATACAGGAGGTGAGGTTGAGATTTCTCCCTTGCCCTCTCTCTCATACACATGCACAAGCACATGTAAGGTAAACAAACAAATTTACTCAGCAATTCCAGGCTCTTGGTGCCATTTAACTAGTTTTAGATTACAGGTGGATTATCAACAAGCAGGCAAGAGAAAAAATAAATATTAGCCAAAACTTTCCATGAACTCACTCATCCAACTCTTTGAATTGGGTTTGATTTCTGGAACTCTTTTCAGTACAAATCACCCTGGCATTCCAAGCTCCCAACCCCCACCAGTTGTTCCAGTATCCTGATGGAGTATATGATACTATCCTGATACTGGATATAAAGATAAGTCATTCTCTTTCTAAACTACTTAAATAACTCAAAAGAAATTTGAGTACATATTCCAACAAATTATGATACACAGAGAAAATAAAACAAAAGATACATCTTCAGGGTACTGCTGTTACTGGGTAACAGTTGCCAACAACCTTACTTGGCCAGGAGGAAAAGGCAAATAATGGACAGTAACTTCCACTTCTTCAGCAAGAACCGAGGGCTGCATATGCATGAGCTTAGGACATCCTCAGAGCAACCGTAGAAAGTAGGTAATGCTGGGACCATGGTACAGGCAGTGGAACCAAGTCAGATAGCTGATGAGTCAAAAGAGCTAGGAACCCATCCAGCGATGCCTACCTCAGACGTGGCATTTAAGCCAGGTATATGGGGAGAAAGTACATGGGGGATCCCATCCACAACAGCAGAGAGCACTGAGAACAGTCACGCTCTCTCACAGAACTCGGCAGCAATTCAGTGTTCACGTATCCCTTTAGTATCAAGCACATGCTTGGTAGCTGTATCCTTTACAAAAAAAAATTAATAAATAAATCAACAATAGCACTTTTTTCCTCTCTAACTTTTCATGAATGGTTCCCCACTTCCCATTCTTCATTTCACAGGGGACTTCAAAAGTTTCATGGAAAGATGGAAAAATAAAAACAAAGGGTAAATATCGGAGCGGGTTAAGCTGCCACTTAGGATGCCTGGGTCCCACTTCAGAGTGCTTTCACCTGGGTATCAACGATTCTGCTTCCAACCCAAGACCCTACTCATGAGCCTGGGAAGCAGAAGACAGTGGCTCAGGACCTTGCCTTCCTGCCACCCATGCAGGAGTCCCGGATGGAGTTCTCAGTGCCCAGCCTCAGGCAGCTGCCTAACGAGTAAAACCATGGATGCAACAATGATTTCTCCCTCACCCCAACCTCCCTGTCATTCTGTCTCTCAAATCAAGAAATGACACTTCTTAAGAAATTGAAATCCACGCATAGTTGAGTTTTTTCACCCCAGATACATACTTTCCAGAAACCCTCTGAAGCATCCTTCTGCATTCGCAACATTTGTATCCTTTCATAAACAGAAAAGAGCCCTCTGGGAAGTCTGTGTACCGTCCCAGGTCTGTGTTATACAAGACCACAACAAAACAGTAGGAACAGATTAAATCAGAAAAAAAATTTTTTAAAGTCTAAAGGAAGACTACTAACACTCAGCACATCAGTACATTGTTAATGAAGTACCCTGAGGGTGAGGCTTTCTAGAAGTCTGAAGAGCTGATATATGAGATTTGGGGTTGGAGGTTTGTGGGTTGGACGTTTGGGGGAAGCTGGTGCAGCAGAGAAAATCTGATGCTGAGCTTATAAAATGAAATGTGCAGATTTCAAAATCGTTAGGAAATAAATGATGGTTAGCAAAGTGCCATGTATGTAAGTCTAATCTCCCCCAAGCTTTCTGCAGAGATCCACTGCTCTGTCACTAAGTACACTCCTGACTGCCCCCACAGGACCGTTTTCTTCAGGAGCTAGAGTTGTGTAACATTACAGGCCATGGCCACTAGGTGGGATCTCAACTAGTTCACAAATCCCCAAGAGCATCAAGAACAACCCAGAAATAACTGGAAAGACAAATAACTTCTCTCACTAGGCTGTGGAGGATCACATTCTGTCTTCCAGATGACGTCAAATATTGACTTTTGGCAGTGTTACCAGATTGTAAAGGGAGGGCAATCAAACAACGAAGAACAACACGAACATCCATGAGCATTTTCACCCACGGGGAGCTTGAAGAAACAGCTGCATTGGCAGACCAAGTAACTCTGCAGGGTCTTCCCAGCCCTACAAATCAGATGCGAAGGACAATGGAGTCCACAAGCGGTGACAAAACAATCGCACACTGAGTGATTCCAGGGCGCTAACAGCAGACATTCCTCAGATTGGTTCTGTGAGAAAGGTGGCCCCATGGGAAAGATCTAAGGCAAATCCAGGAAAAGCAAGCAGAAGCACAGCTGCAGAGCATGGGCACAATGACGGAACTTGTGTCAAATGTACTGAAGGGAGCCAAGCAGATCCTCAATTACCATGTGAAGTTAGAATGCCTATGGTTTATAACGAACTTGCAGGAATCCCTTCTCACTTGCAGGCTCCTGCTCTGAAAGAGAGCGCTCCAGAAGAGAAGTGGGTCTTTACATTTTAGAACGTAAATATAAGTTTAGGTTCCTGGTTGAGTTCTGGTGGCCAGCAACTTCTCAGAAGCCTCACCGGGTCTGGGTTATGATGATGCCAGGCAACCGAGCCCTTAGCAACGAGAACTTATCCAAGTATGTGGGGTTGGCGGATGGGGGCTTTCATGCCACGAACATTCTCTTTTTAATCAGAAGGAACACAGAGCTTCCTCAGCATCATTACCCAGAATATTTCAGTCACAGAAATTAAGAGGGGAGGAAGGAAGGTATAAACTGGAAAAAAAAAAACCCACACTAAACACACACACACACACACACACACACACACACACACACACACACACACACACAGAGTTCAGGCCAGTAACCCAAGAATACACAGAAAACACTGAAGTCAATTTAAAGCCATTTGCTTCTGTTTAAATGATCAAACTTTCTAAGGTAAAAGGAAAAAAATTCCCTTCATCTTCTTTATTGATAATCTTTTAAACAGCACAAACAACTTGTTCTGTAACCAAAAGGAAGCTCATGCAAAATTCAGCAGCTCTGCCTGGTTTGGACTGGAGCACGCTGGATGTGCAACACCGGAGGGGTCAGCTCAGCCCACACTGTGCTCGGGAAGCTGAGCTGCCAGTTTCCTTTGATTTCTATTTGACTCCGTTTCCTCGGAGGATGGAACCCACACCTAACAGGCACTGTGAATCTTCTTAATGCTAAATGTCTTCCTCTGCCTCCCCCTCATCCTCCACTCCCTCCTGGAACCGCGGTGTCTCTCAAATCTCAAATCACGGGCTTCGAGTTGGGGACCAGAGCAGGGCAAACCCCTACCTCCCAAGACTGCAAGCACCTTCCCTGTGTCCTCACACAGCCTTTCCTTGTCGATAAACACAGCTTTGTCAGGATGCAGAGCAGGTCATGAGCCCAGCCAGCCAGGGTGGCATACCTTTTGGCAGGATCCTTCTGAAGACATAGTGAAAGTAACTTTCTAAAAGACTTGCCATACTTCTTCATCATCTCTTTATCCTCTACTCCGGTTTCTAAGGTGGGTGGATCGTTTTGCAGAGTTAACATCAACACCTGCGACAGGGACAAAATGGAAAGCCAGAATGTCAGTGCGGCCAGTGTCAGCAGGACCGTCTTGGAACACACATCAAAGACTGTCCTTCGCTTGGTACTAGTGTGCTTTCCCATGATTTTAGCTTTCGAGAAACTACATGTTGAAAAATATTCATTTCCTCTTTCTGACTCCATTCCTTTGCCCTCTAACCTTTCTCTTATTTTATTCACAGAACTCATGAAATGTGCTCTCCCATACTGTCGGAACTCCCTGAGGGACCTGGACAGCAGCTTCGTGCGGAGTGGCTCTCCCATGGCCTGCATAATCACATCAGCTGTGATTTATGCAAATGTTATACATGTCAGGTCCCTTTTCAAATACTTTCAGATATGTGATAGATGGAGAATGGAGGCAACAGATTATTGTCTGGGGACGATAAAAGCAGGTGGACTGTGAAGCTTATAAGCAAAGTCCAACAGGATTGCAGGCTGCAATCCCCAGGACTAGGCTTCAGTGGAGAAAGCAGGCAAAAGAAAAACTGGATAAAAGAAAAACTGCCAAGACACAACTCATATCTTTTTCTCCAAAGTCAATCATTGAGATTTCAATTTAAGATTTTTCATAATAAAGTCAGATATTTGCATATGCATAAGAACATACAAAGAGGAACACACATATATGCATGCATGCACAAATTCTATATATGTTAAAATGTGTCAATATATAAAGGAAAAACAATAAAATGAGCTACACTCAAATATTAGGAGATCTGCCTGTAACTGATAAAATATAATAAGGATTCTTCCTCTTCATTATTCTTACTTGTAATTTTAAATTTTTCTACAATAGGAATGTATCACTTAAAAATGACTTAACTTTTTATTTTCTAGGATTTTTGTTTTGTTTTTAAATCCTCCTAAATCTATTCAATGACATGAAAGAGCCCCAAATCTTATCCTCTGTAAAAATATCCTCATATTCTCCAGTGAATTCTTTCAGCATCCTTATCCACTGGGTAAATCACTCCTGATTATCACCACTTCAGAACTCAAGAAGAAGAGGTGGGCAACTTAACAGAAATCTCCAACACGATAGCAGCCAAAGCATATGCTACTTCCTACAAACCCTGGCTCACTTGCACTCAAGAGCCTGACAACTACTGCACCAAGAGAACAGGGGTGAAAATGCTGCACAAGATGTTCAAGATGAACAGATCTGAAAACCTGGGAAATGCATCTGTATAAATGACATTACTAGGTTCTAGTCTCAGATTTCTTCAGGGATGTGGAGCTATGGGGCTATCACAGGAGTAATCACCAGCATCTGTCTTAGCTATCAACCTCAACCGAGTGTTTACATTCTTGCTTCATTTCTGGGCTGGGAATGCCAAGCAAGCCACAAAGCTGGCACTGTGTTCCTGCTGTCCAGTGCTGACCACTGAGAACATCAGATGGCATCCAGCCTGGACACATTCCTCCATTAGTTCTCTTTAGGTATAAGGCACTAATGATTATCTTCAAGAGAACTAGATTGTAATGTCCAGCCAGTCCCATTTCAAACATGACATATTATTTGCAATAGTTAATTACTTTCATAGGAGGGTATTTGTGATAAGGCGCTGCTCCTGTTGCTAGTTCAATGGCAGTTATTCCAAAACTCCACATGTCAGCCTTGAAGTCATAGCCTCTCACCTAAGAAAGAAACCAGAAAGAAACACAATTAGATGGCCAGCATGTCACACACTGAAAGTCAACATTGTGTCGGAAATCTGGAGCTACCTATACACAACTCCCATGATGGTTTCCTAAGGACTAGTGACTGGGAATTAAATTTTAGCTACATGATGCATTCTACTGCGATGTAAATAAAACGTTAGTGTGATGATAGCACAATATATACTATGTCAATTAAATTTGTTTCTTTTACCTGTTCCATGACTTCAGGGGCCATCCAACACGGGGTACCAACAAACGTTTTTCTGACTTTATTCCGTGTAACGTCACCCCCTGTTGCTAAGAATGCACTTACCCCAAAATCTGGAAAAAAAAAAAGCATCTTATTTTAGGTAAGACATGACTGCCTATAAATCTTGGCTTTCAGAATAGATCTCTTCCTGGTGAACAACACAGTGGTGACAAACTGATCTATTAAACCTATTCAGGGAGTACCCTAAATCACCCATAAGGATGGCCCTTATATCTGCCAGCTATCTATGCTTGAATAAATGAAAACCATCACAGGTGAGTCAGCACCCTGGTCCAAAAGCTTACCAGACAATTCACTTTTTCCATTAAAAGTTAACTGAAGTCATAATGTGAAAAAAATTCTACCTCATTGACATAACTAACATATACATTCCCAAGACCTAAATACCATGGGGTCTTGGCTCTTAGCTAAGATTCATGTTAGAAAATAAATTACAAGATTTTCATTGGAAGCAGTAAAAGTAGCACACAACATAGTTCTTTTGTAAGTTTTTCTTTTATTATCATTTTTCCTAGCCTCTGTAATCTCAGACTGCCAATGTTTCAAGAGTGAGGATTTATTTCTTTATTTTTAAAAATAAAGATGAGTAATAGCTGTGTCTCACATTCCCATATCCTTGCCTAAATAGTGCTAACACTTTAGCCAAAATAACGCTGGCAAATCCATATACCCAGGAACGGACAGCCAACATGCCTGGGTTTGTCCATGAACAGCAATCAACACAAAGGAAGAGCTCAGTCGCAATCAACACAAAGGAAGAGCTCAGTCAGTGAACATTGCTTTCTTTCCAATGTCTGCTTTCTGGATGAATTTTGTAAGTATAGATGGCATGGCTTGTAGAATCTGACAATGCACTTAACACCTCATATACTAGCAATTTTTAATGTAGGAATATTAAAATACCATATATGCATACAAGTATATATGCACGAATTATCCTTGCACCTGAGTACAGAATATAGTACCTGGTGTTTATTAATAAATGTAATCCTGATGACACTTATAAATAAAGACTTAAAAAAGCGAGAAGTTTCCAGTATAATTATTCAGGATGAGTATACTTACTGGCAAAAGCCAAGTCAAAGACCACTAGATAATGAGTCATTGATAAGAAGAGGGTAGTTGTCTAAAGTCCTTGTCTTATACATACTGGGATCCCATATGGATGCCAGTTTATGTCCCAGATGCTCCATGGCCCATCCAGCTCCCTGCTTGTGGCCTGGGAAATCAGAAGAGGATGGCCCAAACCTTTGAGACCCTGTACCTGTGTGGGAGGCCCCAGAAGAAGCTCCTGGTTTTGGATTGGCTCAGCTCTGGCCAATGCAGCCAGTTGGGGAGTAAACTAGCAGATGAAAAATCTTCTTGTCTCTCGTCTCTGTAAATACGACTTTCCAATAAATAAATAAATCTTTAAACAAGAAGAGAGTATTTAACACCCCAAAATGCCATCACATGCAATCCAACATGAGCATTTCCTCTGCCCAAACTGGATAAAAAGGCATTTTCCATTGCTGGTCCTGTTCTTTGATTGACAAGATGATAGCAATTACCAAAGAACAACACCAAGTACACAGCAAAATCAAAAAGTGCTAGCATTCATCTAGGTATATAAGATTAGGCTATGCAATTGTGTGGCTTTGATAAAGTAGTAACCAATGCTTCTGTGTAAATACACTGACTTTTTAATTTCATTTACATATAAGTTTATTCAAATTCTGAAAAGATTTTAACTAAATAAAAAACATGACACTTTGTTCTGACTGCTACTCTAAGTTAGTATGTGGGAAAAAATATATTTTGAGGGATTGTTATAACTTAATTCACATGCATGAGTCCAGTTCTAAAGCTCACACATTTCTTATGCACTGAGACAAAACTGCATTAGGTAATACGGTGCAAAGTGTTAAAATCACTGTTTACAAAGCTAGCATCCCATACCAGAGAACTAGTTCAAGTCCTGGCTCCTCCATTTCCAATCCAGCTTCCTTTGCTGCCTGGGAAGACGGCAGATGATAGCTCAATTAGCTGGATACCTGCTACCCACGTGCGAGACCCAGATGAATTTGCAGGCTCATGGCTTCTACTTGGTCTTGCCCAGCAGTGTGCACCTGGGGAGTGAATCCTTGGATAAAAAGATCTCTCTCCCTCTGTCTGTCTATCCCTCTGTTACCTGGCTTTCCCAATCAAAAACTGAGGATGCCTTAAAAAGGAAAAAACAACTTTGCGAACAGAAATCTCTGGGGTCAGTTTCCCAGTGAGTAATAAAAAACCAGAAACCATTCTTTTACAGAAGAGAGGGAGAACTGAAGGACTCACAAGCATCACGTGCGTCTGGCCTAAGGAAAAGAATATGATGTGGCTTACAAAAACATAGATTTCAATTTAGATTTTTCAAAGGAAGTTTACTAACATGCAAAATTCCATTTTAATCAAGATTATTTTATAACATGATAATATATAAATGTGTATCTTCTATAATTAAGAATATAGGTGAAAGCTACTTGAGGAAAAAAAAGATTTTCAATACAGGTAAATCATAATTCACAGAAAAGCCAATTAGCATATTTTTAATCCCTTAAAGGCATTGCTTAGTTAGAAATTTTCATAATTGAGGAAACAACTGATAGTGGTACAAACAGCAATTCTATATTAGTAACACTGCTCCGATGTATCTTTCATGATTCCTTTTTCATAGCCTCTACTCAGAACACTCACTGTAAAGTCATCAACAGATAGTTAAATATCTCTCTAAAACTCAGGGGGGAAAAGTTCCAGAAACAAAACAAAACAAAATGAAACGAAAACCAAAAAAAACCCAGCAGTCCTAGTATCTAATCAGTCTTCTGACTATGGAATAAACACATAATTTGCTCCTACATGTGTCTAATGTGTATATAGAAATGTTTGTATGTGACAAGGAATTGAACATTTTGACTAAAGGACAGAGTACGTTTATACAAACAGGAAAGCTGGCACATTCTGTGAAGGCAGCCTGCACATGACAGTGAGAACAAGGTGACTGAACACAGGAGAGAATAGTGGCCCTTGTTCTCCAGGAGTGCATACACAGCCAATGGCACTGGAGTCAGACATACTAGGGTCAGAACCATGAAAACTCACTGGACAACATGTAATCGAAGGCTAGCCACACAGCTACCCAGCCCCTCTTCCTGCTTCCAGGAAGGACATCAGTAAGGCTTACTTAAAGACAAAAGCAGAAAAGTGAGCTGCCTTCCTTGCAAATTCACCAACAGCTATGTCAGTCCTTGCCCATGGCCACTGCCTCACTGCCTCACTTTAAGCCACCAGGACTTCTTTATCAAGAATAATATGGCAGCCTCCCAAATCCCACTGCCAAATCTTCCCAGGTCCAGGGCCCAAAGTCACAGACTTAAAACTCCTTAAAGACATTCTGGTTGCCTCAGGATAAAGGCAAAATCTCCTAACACAACACACCCACCTAATATACCAACCTGAACACAAACCCTCCCGCTTCCTCTGTCAGTGCCTCAGACTGAGACGTTGAGCTCCAGCCACATTCAACCTACTCTGTTTTCTGGCTTCACTTCCACCTTAGCCTCTCCTGTGGTGCTCCTTTTGCATGTGATACCTTGTCATCCACACACTCTGTCCCCTCCCTGGTCATCAGACAGAATTCTGCATGTTCTGATGAATGACAGAAACACTGCAAACAACCTGACTCTTGGTGATGTTCATTCATTACTTCTGCCTAATTTTTAAACTTGAAAAAAAATAAAAGTAATTATCTGAAAAGCTGAGCAACTGACAGAGAAGAAAGAGATCTACTGTTTTACTCCCCAAATTCCTGCAACAGCTGGAGCTAGGCCAAGCTGAAGTCAGGATTCAGGAATTCCATATGGGTCTCCCACACAGGTAACAAGAACCCAAGTAGGTGGTCAGTTTCCCGTGGTTGACAGAGGCTCAATCCAAGGCACTATGATAATGGTTATAGGTATCCTCAGTGTTTGCTTAACCTGCTATACCACAATGTCTGCCATCTACATGCATCATTTCAGTAACTCTCATCTTGAACTATGTGACTGTTAATCCTTGAGGAGGAGCTGCAACATTTTGAGAAATAGTTACCCGACATTGAGAGAGAGTGGTGCATGTATCAGAAAACCTCATGCCCTGAATAGTTGAGGACTGAGCAGACAACGGCCAGGCCAAACAGGAGACCATCTCCCAGCTGTGAGACTTCTGCAAGGCATTTGACCTATGTGAGCAACTATTTCCTTGTGAGGTTCCTTCTTTAGTCATATTAGTACATTACTTACAGGCATATGTGATTCACCACATCCAAGAGGTCATCAAGAAACTCATGGAAAAATATCTTATGAAAAAAAAATCATGCATAGCTTTTTAAATAAATCCACTTATCTTTTAATTCCATTTCCTCCTGAACTTTTTAAAGCTTCCTTATATAAATATTCCTAATAATAATCGTTAGAAGGAACAATGGCCCATGGTTGTCTACTTTTAGTACATAAGACAGTAGGCTGAGTGGATGAGCACTAACATTTTCCAGGAGTAGAAACAAAATAGAGTGAACAATAATTTTTAAAAAAAGGCGTTTTTTTTTTTTTTTTTTTTACTAATTTGGAAATCAAATTTAGAGATAGTGAGACAGATTTCCTATGTGTTGGTTTATTCCTCAGGTGGCCACAATGGCTAACACTGGGTCAGACTAAAACTAGGAGTCCACAGCTTCTTCCTGATCTCCCACATGGGTGGCAGTGACCCAAACATTTACCTCACCTTCCAGTGCTTTGCCCAGGCCGTTAGTAGGGAACTGTATCAGAAATGGCACAGCTACATAAACCAATGCCAATAGGGGATGCCAGCATCACAGGTGGCAACTTTGCTTGCTATAGCACAACATCGGCCCCAAGGGATACAATTCTTAACCTTGAGCAGCTGACCATCTCCGTAGCACAGGACGGCAGACAACAGGAACAAAATATAAAATCAAATGCCATGTTGCCTGTGTTGTAGCAGAGGAGCCATGACCACAGTGGTTCCCAAAGAC